ACCGGGGGCACGAACCGGGGGCAGGAACCGGGGGCACGAACCGGGGGCAGGAACCGGGGGCACGAACCGGGGGCACGAACCGGGGGCAGGAACCGGCACCGATTCGGGGATTTTGGCCAACTGGGGGATTTTTGTATTTGCATGAGATTTCGGGGTGGGGCTCAGCCCAGCTGCTTCCCCAACATTTCCCGCACCCCAAAACCCAGCCAGAGCCCCGGAGCAATTGGGGGGACCCCAAAAGTGTCCCAGCCTGCGGCACCCCCCTTTCCCCAGCTGCTGTTTTTTAATCTTTAATCTCGCCCCCCTCCTCTCCCCCCTCCGCTCTTTATTTACGGCCCCGGTTCGGGGAAGCGGCGGCGGCTTCTGCGAAAAGCCCCGGCGGGGACGGAAATGGAAAGCTCGGGGTTATCGGCAGGGCCAGGCGGCTTCCAGGAAATACACCCCAAAACTGCTGCAGGAGCCGCACCCCAAAACTGTTACAGACACCCCAAAACTGCGCCAGGAACCCCAAAACTGCTGCAGACACCCCAAAACTGCTGCAGGAGCCGCACCCCAAAACTGTTACAGACACCCCAAAACTGCGCCAGGAACCCCAAAACTGCTGCAGACACCCCAAAACTGCTGCAGGAGCCGCACCCCAAAACTGTTACAGACACCCCAAAACTGCGCCAGGAACCCCAAAACTGCTGCAGACACCCCAAAACTGCTGCAGGAGCCGCACCCCAAAACTGTTACAGACACCCCAAAACTGCGCCAGGAACCCCAAAACTGCTGCAGACACCCCAAAACTGCTGCAGGAGCCGCACCCCAAAACTGTTACAGACACCCCAAAACTGCGCCAGGAACCCCAAAACTGCTGCAGGAGCCGCACCCCAAAACTGTTACAGACACCCCAAAACTGCACCAGGAACCCCAAAACTGCTGCAGGAACCGCACCCCAAACTGTTACAGGAACCCCAAAACTGCACCAGGAACCCCAAACTGCACCAGGAACCCCAAAACTGCACCAGGAACCCCAAAACTGCTGCAGGAGCCTCACCCCAAAACTGCTGCAGGAACCCCAAAACTGCTACAGACACCCCAAAACTGCTGCAGGAACCTGCACCCTCACACCCCCCCAGGCACCCCAAAGCTGGTCCAGCCCCCACACCCCAATTCCCCCCCATGCCTGGCACCCACCCCAACCTCTGTGAGCCACCAGCACCCCAAATTCCACCAGCACCCCAAATAATTCCACCAGCACCCCAAATAATTCCACCTGCACCCCAAATTCCACCAGCACCCCAAATTCCACCAGCACCCCAAATTCCACCAGCACCCCAAGCTCCCCCAGATATCCCCACCCAAACTGTGGGAGCCATCAGCACCCCAAACCCCAAGCTCCCCCTGCACCCCAACCACCCACACCCAAATTTAGGATGTCCCAAACTCTTGGGAGAACCCCAAAAACCCCAAATCTGCCCCCCCAAGCCCCCAGCCCCCCCTCTTTTTGCATATTTCCATGGCAAAGGCCCAGCTTTGCATTTAGGCCCCACCGCACTCCGGGGAAACCAAACAGGCCCAAAATAGTCCCCACAGCCACAGAATTTAAAAAAAAATTAAAATTAAAAAAAAACAAAACAAAACAACAGAAAAAAAACCCCAAACCAAAACAAAAACCACCCCAAAAAAAGCAGAAAACTCACAGCCAGCAGCGTTTTGCAGCCCGGGCACAGCAGGGCTGAGTCACTCAGGGCTGGTTTTGGGAGCCCCAAGAAAAGGGACTTGGTGACCCAGGGATGGCAGCCCTGGCACGGATCTGGGGCAGGATTGATCTTGGGGCAGGATTGATTGATTTGGGGGCAGGAATGATTGATTTGGGGGCAGGATTGATTGATTTTGGGGCAGGATTGATTGATTTGGGGCAGGATTGATTTGGGGCAGGATTGATTTTGGATCAGGATTGATTTTGGATCAGGATTTATTCTGGAGCAGGACTGATTTTGGGGCAGGATTGATTGATTTGGGGCAGGATGGGTTTGGGGCAGGATTGATTTTGGATCAGGATTGATTTGGGGCAGGATTGATTTGGGGCAGGATTGATTTGGGGCAGGATTGATTTGGGGCAGGATTGATTTGGGGCAGGATTGATTTGGGGCAGGATTGATTTGGGGCAGGATTGATTTGGGGCAGGATTGATTTTGGATCAGGATTGATTTTGGATCAGGATTTATTCTGGAGCAGGACTGATTTTGGGGCAGGATTGATTGATTTGGGGGCAGGATTAATTTTGGAGCAGGATTGATTGATTTTGGGGCAGGATTGATTGATTTGGGGGCAGGATTGATTGATTTGGGGGCAGGATTGATTGATTTTGGAGCAGGATTGATTGATTTGGGGGCAGGATTTTGCCTCTCCAGAGGGATTTTCCAGCTGAAGCTCCCCCAGCAGAGCTGCTGCTCACGGAGCCGAGAGAGGAACAAATCCACCCCAAAAGTGCAGGGATGGGAATCTGGGGACCACAGGGGAGGTCTGGGGGTGCAGGGACCCCCTAAAAAGGGAGGAAAAGTGGTCTCCACATCCCCTAAGAAGTGGGGAAACTGCAGCACCACGCAGGAGCCCAAACCAGCGCTGGGTGAGACCCTGGCACAGGTTTTTCCAGAGAATTGTGGATTCCCCATCCCTGGACTGTGGATTCCCCATCCCTGGACAAGGCTTGGAGCAGCCTCCAACCAGCCCCCAGAGGCTTTTCCAAAATTCCAGCTCCTGTGGGGAGAGCCCCAGGGGCAGCACAAGAGCTCAGCCCCTCCCTGGGGGAAACCTCGAGTTTGGTACCAGAGGAATGAGAACAAAAAGAAAAAAAAAAAAAGACATTTATTGACCAAACTACAGCTTGTTTTGCACACAAGCAGGGCCTGGCTGTAGCACCATCGCTGAGCTGGGCAGGGCTCAGGCTCCAGGTCACGTCCTGGGGACAAGGACGGTGCCAGCAGGGGAGCCCAGGCCAGCCCTGAGGAACCTGCAGGAGCTGCAGGACTGAGGCAGAGGCAGCCCCAGGACGTTTTACATTCAAACATCAGCTTTGTCCAGCTCATGGCTTGGAGGAGCAAGAGGAAGGGAAGAGAAAGGAAGTGGCCAGATGGATTTCCACAGCTCCCTGCCCCCAGCCAGGAGGGCAAGAGCCACCAAAAATAAGATTAAAACAAACAGAAACGTCAGCTGTTGCCAGCCAGCCGTGGTCACACCGAGTCCACGAGGCCACTGCTGCTTGTCACCCTCCCTGGCTGTGCTGCTCAAGTACTTGAGATGAGTCAAGGCAGGAGGAGAGGCTTTGCCACAAAAATGCCACTTCCTGTGAGGAATGAAGCGCGGTACACCCACGTTCAGAATTAATTCCTCCTTTTTGTATCGTCAGCTCTGTAAAAATGTATATATTCTACAGATTTACAGACATTTACAGGTTCTCTGCATCCTCCCCAGCCCAGTGGAGGGTATTTTACACACTTACAAATGCACTGGCTATTTCTCAGCTGTGTCTGTGCAGCCAGGAGAGGCTGCCTGGGGTCAGGACACAGCTGGGTGTGACCCCCAGCCCCTCCAAGCCCCTTCCCCACGGGGAGGGAAGGGGTGGGCACAGCTCTGCCACTCCCAGGCACCGCTGGCAGCACCTGGGGGCAGGTGAAGGCTGGCACAGCACTTCCAGCACCCAGTGCCTCTGCTCCAGCAAGTTTAGGCAGGGCAGCGGCAGCAGAAGGTGCTATTTCCAGAAAAAAACCCACAACCACAGCCCTCAGACATCTGCTCCAGGCTCAGCTGCCTCACCCAGCCCAGGAGGAGCTGCTGGAGCTCCCAGACTGTTCCCTCTGGGATCAAAGTGAAACAAGTCCACTCGAGCTCCCCAGCTCTTCCTCTCGAAGGAAGCAGAGTTAACAACTCTTCCACGCTCTGTTCCCAAAGCAATAAATCCTCCAGCAGCACCCAGAGCCTCAGATCACACCTTCCTCTTCCTCAGGAATGAGCTGCTCCGGGGATACCTCCATGTCCTCCTCGGGTCAGCAGCAGTCCCTGAGGGAGGGGCAGCTCTGCAGCCCCCGGAGCCAGTCCTCCCAAAGTCCTGGTCCTGAGCTCCAGCCTCACCGGATCATGTAGGCCAAGCCAGCCCCCAGGCCGGCCACTCCTGCAAACGCCATCAGAACGTTCCGGATGCTGCCCTCCAGGTCCTCCACTCGGAAAAAGTCCACAAAGCCCTCCTGGGAGAGAGAAGGGATGGTCAGTGTCCTGGCAGGCACCCCTCGTGGGGAGGAGGGCAGGGGAGGGGGGGAACAGCCTGCCTGGCACATCCCCTGTGCTCCCCCAGCCCCATTCCATCCTAAAACATCATCCCCTGAGCTCCCCCAGCCCCATTCCATCCTAAAACATCACCCCCTCTGCTCCCCCAGCCCCATTCCATCCTAAAACATCATCCCCTGTGCTCCCCCAGCCCCATTCCATCCTGAAACATCACCCCCTCTGCTCCCCCAGCCCCATTCCATCCTGAAACATCATCCCCTGTGCTCCCCCAGCCCCATTCCATCCTGAAACATCCCCTGTGCTCCCCCAGCCCCATTCCCTCCTGAAACATCCCCTGTGCTCCCCCAGCCCCATTTCAGCCTAAAACATCATCCCCTGTGCTCCCCCAGCCCCATTCCATCCTGAAACATCACCCCTGTGCTCCCCCAGCCCCATTCCATCCTTCACACCTCACTGTGCTCCCCCAGCCCCATTCCAGCCCCCCCAGCAGCCATGGGCCAGGTCCAAGCACTCCCAGGCTTGCCCAGGCTCTGGGAATGCTGCCCCAGGCTGGGCTGGAACACATTTTCAGTTCAAACCAGGCAGCTCAGGATGAGTCTGTCCTGAAGCTCCACAACCCCCCTGACTCGGTGCTCCCTGGAAACAGTGAGTCAGCACTGACACAGAAACAGGAAAAGGCCGGAATGTTGGGAAAAGCTCAGGAATTTGGAGCTGGCAGTGACTCACCCAGCCCCCCTGGCTCTCCAGCCACTCTCGCTTGGACGAGACCAGGGCGTCTGTGATGATCCCAGCCAGGGAACTGATGCTCTGCTCCTGCTTGATGCTCTTCAGGTGCTTGGCCACGAAGGCTCCGAAGGCGATGAGCGTCACCACGCGGCCCCAGTTGGTCACCCCATCGCTGAACAAGTGGGCAGCCACCTCCACCACCGACTGCAGGTCCTCCTCTTGCTGGATTTCCAGCTTCCGCAGCATTCCTGGAAGATTTTGGTTTAGGAGCACCGAAACCCCGCAGGAGGAGCGGGGACAGGGTGTGACCCCACCACCACTGGAGCTCTAAAGCTGCAGGAGCCTCTCAGGGATGTGGAGAGCGTCCTCAGAGGGCTCTGCTGCCCTCCCTCACCTGGGCCAGACAAAACCTAGCCCCTGACACACTTTCAGTTCCTTCCCCCTGTCTCGGGGACAGCTGTGGTGTCTGAGCTCTCCACACTGCCCTGCCTCAAGCTTTCCAACCCTCTCCACATCAGAACCTCAACCTGGGCTGAGCAGAGCCCCCAGGGGCAGCCAGACGTGTCCCACTTCATTAACCCGGGATCACAGCTGGGAAATGGAACTTTTTTTTTTTCCCTAAATAATCCTTTTTTCTCTGATTCTGCTGCATTTCTTCTGTGTTTTTCTTTCTCTTCCTGGTTTTCTCAGTCTCCTTTGGACTGAATTCCCCAGCTCGACCTCCAGTGCCCTGCCACGAACAAGAGAAGGAGCCAAGTCTTTACGAAACCGAAAGGCGTTGCTGTTTGTTGTTGCTCAAACTTGCAGGAAGCCTTCCTGAGGCAGTTCCTTCTCAGCACTCAGGAAATCACCAGCCCTACGCAAGCCCTGGCCAGCTCACTGAGAATTCGGAGGAAAACACCGGGAATTCCCAAAATTCCCTGCCATATTCCAAAATTCCTCCTCTCAGGAGCCCAAAAATCCCAGAAATCCCGGGATTTTGGGATTTTTTTTTCCCCATTCCTGGGTCCAAACCTCCACCTTTTCCCAATCCTGTTTTTTTAATGCAGAATTCCCAGTCTTTTTTCATTTTCCAGGGCTGGAATCCAGGATTTTCTCAGTGAATTTTCCCTGATCCCACATTCCCAGAAATGCACAAAAATTCATCCTGATTCCCTCTAATTATTCCCGAGTTTTTCCCTCTAAATTAATCAGGAATTTGGATTCTAAATCCTTCATTTTAACCCGTGGAGGAGAAAAATGGGCTTGGGGGGACTGAAAAACGTGGGGAAGAACCTTGGGAATGGGATAAAAATCCATGGCTAAGCCTGGACATCGCTCCCAAGAATCATTCAACAAGCACATCCAGGAATTGGGACAGAGGAACTGATCCCACTGCATTTCCCATCAAGGATGAAACTGAAGCTCTTTGTGCTCAACAAACAAAAAAAGCAGCCAAAAAACCCCGAGAAGCTGAGAAATCGGCACATCCTCCTGCAAGGTTTCAGCACACAAAACCTCAGGAGGAAAGGCAGGCACTGCTCTGCTCTGCTGGGCTCCATCCTGAGCCGGGATCAGGAGCAGCTCCAGGATGGGAGATCAGCCCCAAACCAGCCTGAGCCACACAAAACCAGGTCAAATCGGTCACTTCTCCTTTTTAATTCATCCCCAGGACACTGCACTGGGGGGAAACTTCCTACAGCTGCTTCAGGACCCTGCACAAGTGGGGAAATACATTAAAAGAGATTTCCCAGGGAAGCTGTGGCTGCCCTGGATCCCTGGAAATGTCCAAGGCCAGGTTGGACAGGGCTGGGAGCAGCCTGGGACAGCAGAAGGTGTCCCTGCCATGGGCCTGGATGAGTTTTAAGATCTTACTTCAACCCAAAGCATTTCATGGTTCTGTGAGCACACTGCCCAGGAGAATTCTTCCCATCAAAAATCCCCTTGCACCCAGACTGGGGGGAAGTGGTGAGGATCTGAAACTCCTGAGCTAACTAATCTTTGGACGTTTAGAATTATTTGCAGAGTCAGTCCGAGCCAAGGGGGACACGAGGAGGAACCAGGGCTAATCTGTAACTAAATTATCTCCTCTGCACACACCAACAGCGGCTTTGCCTCGTCCCGATGGAACAAAGTTCAGTTTCGTTTTTGATCACTTCCCAGCTGCTTTTATTTAACCCTCTGCGAGCCAAGGCCGCATCCCATGAATGACCCACCCGAGCCCCCTCCCCAAACCCCTCCGGCCACCGGGACCGGCGGCACCGGGCTCCGCAAAGGAGAGGACGGGGGGATCGCGGTCTCCTGCCCGGATTGTCCGGCGGACACACACCTTGAAAGGCGAGCTCGTGTTTCCGCATGACGCCGTCTCCGATCCTCCGCAGCGTCTCCAGCGACTTCTCCATCACCGCATCCCCCGCCGCGCCGGGCCGCCCGGGACCACCCAGGAGCCCCGGGAAAAGCTTCTTAGCGCTGGGCTGCGCCTCGCCCGCCACCTCCCGGAGGTAGCGGCTGATGAGCTCCAGCGAGTCCTGCCGGAGCCCGTCCGGGGGTCCCGGGGGGGTCCCGGGCAGGGAATCGGCGGCGGGGCCGCGCTCGGGCTCGGGCTCGCAGCCGTCCAGCTCCTGCTCGGGGCGCCACAGAGCCGCGCCGCAGCCAATCAGCGCGCGGGGCGCCGCGCCTCGGCCAATCAGCGCGCGGGGGGGGTCGGCGCGCCCGGCGGCGGCCCCGGAGCGCTCGCGGGGCGGCTCCGCTGAGGCGGCGGCGGCGGCCGCGGGCTCCGGGCGCTCCCCCGGCCCGCCCGGGCCCAGCGCCGGGGAGCCGCCGCAGTACAGGTTGAAGCCGATGACGGCTTTCGGCTTCACGGAGAACATGGCGCCCGGTGCGAGCGGCCGGCGGCGTGCGGGCGGGACCGGCGCTGCCGGTTTATATAACCGGCGCGGTGACGCCAAGGGGCGGGGCGGGGGCGGGACCGGCCCCTTTTCCACCTCCGCTTCCGTTCCTCCGGCTGAAAAAATCGCGGAGTGACCGCCCCCTCCGCCCCCCGACCCCGGTACCCCCATCCCGGTGTCTCCGGCTCTTCCCGGTACCGGGCAGCAGCTCCGTGCCGGGACCTCCTCCCTCATCCCTCCGAGCGCAGCGGGGGCCGGGACACCCCAGGCAAAGCCCCCCCAGCAGCAGGGACCATCCTCATCATCCTCATCATCCTCTTCCTCGTCATCCTCATCCTCATCATCCTCCTCATCCTCCTCATCCTCACCATCCTCCTCATCCTCACCATCCTGATCCTCACCATCCTCATCCTCATCATCCTCATCATCCTCATCCTCCTCATCCTCCTCATCCTCCTCATCCTCCTCATCCTCCTCATCCTCCTCATCCTCACCATCCTGATCCTCACCATCCTCATCCTCCTCATCCTCCTCATCATCCTCCTCATCCTCACCATCGTCACCATCCTCATCCTCCTCACCATCCTCACCATCCTCACCATCCTCATCCTCACCATCCTCACAGCCGTGTGTGTCCCCTGCCCTGCCCCATCCGGGGTTTCACTCACGGTTCCGCAGCACCGAGCATCCCCCGCGGGACCCCGGAGCGGGGCTGAGCTGCAGGCACAGAAAGGGGCTGGAGGTGGGGAGCGTGACCCAGCCTGGTGAGATTGTACCAGGATGAGGGGTTTGGAGGTAGGGAGAGTGACCCAGCCTGGTGAGATTGTACCAGAAAAGGGGATTGGAGGTAGGGAGTGTGATCCAGCCTGGTGAGATTGTGCCAGAATGGCGGGTTTGGAGGTAGGGAGTGTGATCCAGCCTGGTGAGATTGTGCCAGAATGGCGGGTTTGGAGGTAGGGAGAGTTACCCAGCCTGGTGAGATTGTGCCAGGATGAGGGGTTTGGAGGTAGGGAGAGTTACCCAGCCCGGTGAGATTGCACCAGGATAAGGGGTGATGGTTTTACACTAAAACTGAGTAGATTTAGACTGTAAAAGTGAGTAGATATAGGGAAGACATTTTTTATTATGCAGGTAATAAGACACTGGAACAGGTTGCCCAGAGGTAGATGTCACATCCCTTGAAACATTCCAAGGCAGGAAGGACAGAGCCCTTGAGCAGCCTGATCTAGTGAAGATATCCCTGCTCATTGCAGGAGTAGATGGCCTTTAAGAGAAACTTCCAAGCCAAACTCTTCCATGATTCTAAGGAATCCCACCTGGATCTGCTTGAAGCCCGTTCTGACCTTGGCTCTCTCATCTGGATGTTTGTGGGGGGCTGCCCCATTCCTTCCAGCCCTTGCTGCATTGTCCCACATCTCCCCCAGGACTGAAATCCGCTGTACCCAGCTCGGAGAGGTCACTGAGCAGGGCAGGACCTGGCTGGGTCACCCTGGGGTCACTCTCAGCATCTCTGGGGCATTGGGTGTCAATTTTTGTCTCCTCTGGCCACAGGCTCCTCCTTCACCCCTTTGAGGGCAAGATGCCCTCAAAATCTGCCTTGTTTTAGGGAAAGCTTGGCCAGGGAAGGAGCCTCAGGGCTTTGTGCAGGTGGATCAGACCCTCCAAGAACAGGGAAATACCGTGGGTTTGCCCTGGGGCACTGAGGAAGGACGGGAGGTCTCCAACACCCCTTTGCTGGACCCGTTTGCAGGGCTCTGCTCCATCCCCACCTCCCAGAAAGTCCAGGATGGAGAGGGGCAAAGGCTCTGTTGTCCTGCAGGGCTGGGCTGGGGCCATTCCTACCTGAGAGCCAGTGACCAGTGCAGCTCAACAGCCTCAGAGCCCTTTGATAGCTCCCAAGACACTGGAAATTGGGGTCTGGAGCCCCTGAAATCACCGTTACCCCCCCAAAAGCATTTCCCAGAGTTGTGCTGGGACCTCTCTGTGCCACCAAATGCCACCAAAGTGGATCTGTGGTGACCCCAGCCCCCGTTACCCAGTGGCATCACCAAACTGGGATGTGATGGGAGTGAGACACTGGGACAGGGCCACAGGACTGGGGTCTGGGGTCTGCTTTCCCCTCCCAGCACCAAAAGGGACCCAGGAAAGTCCTTCCCTTCCCAGCCGTGGGGTCTCAGGGGCAGGAGGTCCTGGTGCCTCGGGGTTCAGGCAGGGTGGGGAGCAGAAAAGCCAGAATTTGAGAGCACAGCTCCTCCCACGGGGTCTTTCAGCTCCAGGGAGGTGCTGAGAGTTGCCACCTCCCTGGTCAGCATTTTTGGGGACAAACTGTGAGGAATCCAAGCCTCTGTCCCCTTACTGAGCATCTCTGGCTCTGCTTGGAGCAGTGGAGGAGGCTGTGGTGAGCACAGGGCCCCATCCTGATGCCCTGGAGCTCTCGTGTCCCAGATCCAGCAAAACCAGGGACCTGCATCCCCCTGGGGGTCCCTTCACCCCCCTCCTCCAGCTCCTGTCCCCACTGCCACCCCCCCAAACCAGGGTTGGTCCAGCGAGACGAAACTCGTCCCTCTCAAAGTCCTTCCCATGGCCCCAAGGAATGTGTCCTTGTCGGGGAAGCAAATTCTTGGCACCAGGAGCAATAACAGGGAGCTCGAGCAGCGCCCAGCACATTTTTGTGAGGCGGTGCCAAGCTTTAGAACAAACACGGCCTGAGCTGGAACAGCGCGTCCCTGCTCGTCCCTGCGGGTCCCAGGGGGGTCCCAGGGGATCGGGAATTCCCAGTTCTGGGGAATCCACAGCACTGAGGCTTCGGGATCATCGGAGGATTCCTGGGAGCACGGCCCAGCCCAGTGACACACCCGGCTGGGCTGGCGAGCTCCAGGGGAAAGGTGGGACTGAGGAAAGGTCAGGGCTGAAAATTCCAGAGGTGAAGGCACCAGGAGAGTGGGGACAGAGGATGAGGCTGGACATGGCCACAGGGGGCTGCCCTGAGGGGGAAAGGCAGGAGTGACCGTGCTCCTGTGCCCCGGGGACAGCGGGCACCCGAGGGGTGACAATGGGGGGACAAAGCTGGGACAGGGTGCAAGGATGTCCCTGTGCGAGAGGGCAGCTGGAGCCCCACGGCGAGGAGCGGGGCAGAGATTTGTGTTGAGGGCAGGAGGATAAAACCCCAGCCCCGCGGCCCCCAGACTCTGCTGTGAGCCACAGTGGGAGGCCCCGAGCACCCCTCACCCCCCAGCACCCGGAGAGGTGGGGAGGGGGCTGCCAGCATCACCCCCCACCCCCCTCAGTGCCCACCCAGCTCCGGGGTGGAACGGGAATAAACCCTGGTCAGAACTGCTCCTGCTGGGTCTCATCCTGTGCTGCCAAATCCCTTCTCCCTCCTGCACAAACACACCTGGAAACCAGGGAGAGACGTGGCTGGGGGCTGTCCCCTGCCTCTGTCCCCCCCCAGCACAGGGACAGCCCCGGAGCAGCGACGCCCCTTTGCATCCTTCACTTTACTTCCCCTTTTTGGGTTTTGTTTCCCCTTTTGGGGTTTGTTCTAATAAAAAGCAAGCACGGCACTCCAAAAGAGTTGAACATGTAAAAAATTATATATATTTTTATATATTTGTATCTATTTACAACATGGCTGGGACAGACAGCAGGACATCCAAGGAGGGTGTGCAGCCACTGCCCCAGCCAGGTCACACAGGGGCTGGAAAAGTGCTGGAGCCAGAGCAGGACCCTGTGGGGACAAGGAGCAGGTCCAAATCCCACCACATATCCCTTGTCCCTTCCCCAGAGAGTGGCCAGGAGCAGCCCCAGGGCCCGTTTCTCACGGGAGGATCCAGGAACCAGCTGAAGGCAGACACAAATTCCATCACACCCTCGGCAAACATTCCTGGGAAGCAACACCTTGGTGCAGCCAGCGCCAGGGAAGTGACCCAGGTGACACAGGTTCCCAGGAAACACCCAGGAACACAAAGGGAAAGCTCTGCCCGGGCATCCTTCACTCCTTCCTCCCTTCCTTTGGCCCTTGTGCTTCCAGAATGGAAAACTGGGGCAGGTTTTGGGATTCCCTGGCACACACAATTCCCACTGCATGGAAAAGGCCACTGGGATCCAGGGCACCAGGAGAGGACAGTGCCACCCCCAGCACGTGTGCTGTGCTTCTGCAGGGCTGCAGCAACAGCTTGTTAGCTTTGGGACTTTTTGTTGTGAAGTTGGTGTTAGTTTGGGGGTTTTCTTATTTTTTTTTTTTCCCAGGCTTGAGACAAAGAAAACACAAGAAGGGAAAAAGCAGAAGAAAAAAGAAATCCAAGCTTGGCATGCCTAACACTTTCAAAACAGGCTTGCCTCAACACCCTTCAAATTCCACTCTGGTGCTTTTTATCCCTTTCTGGGTGGTCACTCCCAGTCCTGCCTCTCTCCATTATCAGTTCCAGCAGCACAAGTGGCTCTCCCTGGCTGCTGCAGGTCTGTGAGCACCCAGGCCTGGGAGCAGGAGGTGCCTGGGCAGGGCTCTGCTGTGCCCTGAGCTGCTGCAGCATTCAGCTCCCACCCCCTGGTGCTGGAGAAGAGCTGTCCTCACCTCAGCCTTGGCCAGACACTGCCCTGCTGGACAGAACTGACCAGGGACTGAGGAACTGCCCCCTGGCCTTTGGCCAAGCCCCTCTGGCCAAGCTCAGCCAGGGGCAGCTGTGCTGGGGCTCTACCCCCAACCCAGGCACGAGGATGTTTCAAACCCTGTCCCACACCCGCTGGACACGTCAGCTGAACCAGGGACAGGGCCCAGGCAGCTCAGCCCAACAACACCCCCTGGATTTTTCTTTGTTTCAGCCAATTTCTTCACTTTTGAAGCTCCAACACACACAGCTGACTATGCCTACAGACCTGGGGTCACATTTTCATGATCAGGGATCACACCTGCCAGACCTGGGGTCACATTTTCATGATCAGGGATCACACCTGCCAGACCTGGGATCACATTTTCATGATCAGGGATCACACCTGCCAGACCTGGGATCACATTTTCATGATCAGGGATCACACCTGCCAGACCTGGGATCACATTTTCATGATCAGGGATCACACCTGCCAGACCTGGGATCACATTTTCATGATCAGGGATCACACCTGCCAGACCTGGGATCACATTTTCATGATCAGGGATCACACCTGCCAGGTCTGGGATGACACCTCCTGCCCAGCTGGGTCGGTCTCTGTGACCCCCAAGGCCTCAGCCCCACTGTCCCCTCCTCCAGGTGCCTCCCCTGTCCCTCTCCTGCTCCTCCCAGGGCTGTCCCAGCGAGGATGCAGCATTCCAGTGCCTCTGTGAGCTGGGATGGTTTCAAACAGCTGGAAAATTAAGGCAAAGCCTCGCTGAGAGGAAGGGCCAACCCAACCCTGCCCTGCCCCTGACTCAGATTTGGGGTGTGTTCGCTGCAAAGACTCAAACAACTACGTGGATTCTGGTGCTCCCGTCCCTATGGTACAGTGAAGTTCAATCCATTTAGCCAAAAGAAAAGAGACAAAAAGAGGGCAGCCCCAGCTGAGAGTGCAGGCTACCCCGCCAGCTTGCTGGTGACCAGTGAGGACTTTCTCTGTGGCAGGTCCTGGGGCGTGGGGATGTGGTCTCCTGTCACCAGGTTCTTGTCAGGCCCTGCACTTGGCAGCTGCTTGTTCTTCATCTTCGCCTTGGCCATGTTGTAGTCACCAGAATCGAAGTATTTTTGCTGGAAAAGGGAGATGTGTTTGGGTTACTGGGTGTGCAGGAGCAGGGAACAGCAGAGCCACGAGGATCCTTTCAGGGAGTGTTGGGATTCTCTAAACCACGCCATGAAAACGAGGGGGAAATCCAAGCAGTGAGCCCAGCCCGCTTTAAAAGGCGTTTGGCCACGAGCCAGTGACTCGGCCCAGCCCTGGGTGGCAGCTCCTGTGCCTGACTCAAGGCAGGAGTGACACACTGCAGGCTGCTGGGACCTTTGGCTGGCTGGGACCAGCCTTGACCTACTCTGCCCTTGCTCCACAGGGATTCAGCCCCAGGCCAGAAACCTCAGGAATGCCGAGGGCAGACACGGCAGCTCAGCCCAGGGGCAGAGCCCAGCTGGATCCTCTGGACTGGGATGATGAGCCAGGGTGACAGAGGCAGGACTTTTGCTCCAGGGAACAAATCCTGGCTGCTGCCAAGGCCTTTCCTGGACCATCCAGCTCCCAACAGCTGCAGGGCTCTGCCTGCAAGGCCCTGGCTGGGGGCCACCTCCCAGCTCAAAGGGCATTTCAGTGCCTTATCACACACATCACACCACCCCAGGACTCTGCTCCTTCCCAGCACAGCCTCATCCCACTGCCCAGGAGAGGCTGGAGCCAAGGCAGAGCCAGTGGCAGAGCTGGCCAGGGCTTTGCTGGGCACAGGGAGTGCTCCCCTGGTGTCCTCAGGGAGCTCAGACCTGACAGAAACCTGCTCCAGGTTTGTGTAGCCAGCTTTGGAATGGACCTGCCCCTGGCCAGGGCTGAGCTCTGGGAACACCAGATCTAGGAAAGGAAAAAAGTGATTGTGCAGATGGAATTGTGGCCAGAGGAAAGAGAATGTGTGAGAGACTGTGGGCACCAAGGCCAGGGAGGAAGGAGAGGCAGGAGAAGCTTGAGCTGAAATTCCCTGGCAGCCCATGGGGGCCCGTGGGGAGCACAGACACACCCCCTACCTCTTGGGTGCTTTTTTAGGCTTTATTTCAATTGTTTTTCAGCTCTGATTTGATGGATAATAAATTCTCTTCGTTTCCCCAAGTCCCTTTAGCCCCTGCTGCTGCTCTGAGCCCTCCCTGCCCTTCTGCCAAGGCAGGAGCCTTTTGTTCTCCTGGCTGTGCAGGTGAGGAGGGCAGGGATGGAGCAGCTCTGGGGACACCTGCAATCCAGCCAGGCTCACTGCCCACAGCCCCAGCACAGCCCTGCTCCCTCCCACAACAGCCCTGGGAGAGCTGGGAACAGCCAGGGACAGGGAAGGGCCAGGACAGAGCAAACCCTGCCCAGGCGGTGACAGGGACAGTGGGAATGGCCCTGGGGAGGGGACACAGCCACTGCCTGCCACCAGCCTGGGAGGGATTTGTGTTTTCTGCAGCAGCCCCTGCAAGGAAAGGAGCCAGCAGGGCCAACCTCAGAGGGCTCTTGGAGAGGGACTGAATTCCATCCCTGAGGGATTTAATTCTGTTTTCAGGGAGCAGCACAAGGCGAGGGTTGGCTTTGCAGTGCAGGTGCAGCCAAGCCACTGCTGCAGCACATTGAAATCAGGGCTAAAACCTCAACCCTGGAGCACCCCAGGGAGGGATCCCAGCACTTGTTTCACCTCTAGCTCAGGGGTTTTTCTGCCTGGAACCTTTTAGGTTCGCAGGATTCAGGCCAGGGTGTGGGGACACAGTGGGATGTGCTGGGGGATAGGCAGACCGAGGCAGGCTGTGGAAGGAGGGGCAGTTCTGATCCCTGTGGCCTGTCCCACTGAGGGACACTCACATACCCCTTTCTGCAGCCTCTTCATCAGGAAATCGGAGCCTCCAGGCTTCTGGCCCAGGTTGGGGTATTTGGCCTTGAGCTTGGCCTCCTCTGCCCTCTCGGGGGGGATGGCTTTGTCCTTCTCCTGAGTGTCCTGGAACACAAGGGGGTGTAAATCCCTGGAGCCCCACACCCACCTGAGATGCTGTTACACAACACCCAGCAGCACATTCCAGCCCTGTTGTGCTTCCCTGGTGTCCTGGGGTGACTTTATGATACTGGTATCCCCAATCGTCTGGTTTATGTTATATATTAAGTTCTGCACCTTTAAGACTGGCTTTGAGAGCAAGAGAGGGGGAAGAAGAAGCGCGCAGTTTGTGTTAAGGAAAAACATCACTCCCACACATCCCGCTCCTGGACTGTGGTGTCTGCAGCACGGACAGACAGCGGGACAGAGCTTCTCTCTGGCTTTTAGTTAGTTTTAGCTAGCTGAGGCAGAGGAGTTCCCTGGACCTTTGTTTGGTTTTTTTTCCCAATTTTCTTGGATCTGTGCAAGCCTGCTCTGGACTGAACACCCAGCCAAACCCCGGGAGCTCACGCCTGTGGCCCACCGGGGCCTGGGCCTCGGCACTTTCCAGCGCCGGAGGGACTGATAAGAACCTGAGCGAGCCGAGCTACACCACATGGAAAGGACTTTTCTTCCTAGACTTGCCATCCCATCGAACAGCAAGAGGTTTTATTATTTAATATTACTCAATTTCTGTTAAATAAACAGCTTTTTCCACTTCTCTCTAAGGAATTTTTTTTCTTTTCCCGGACCAGTTAGTGGGGAGGGGCATTTCCCTGGGGAAATCCCCATTTAGAGTTTTCCTTCCTAATTTGCCCTAAACTAAGACACCTGGAAAAGCACTCGGAAAATATTCCCAACACCTTCCCAGCCACAAACAGCCTTTCCCTCCAGGAGCTGTGGGCCAGGGAGAGCTCCCTCCTCTGCCTCCTTCCCACCTGGGAGCCCCTCCAAGCACCCACGCTGACGTTTGGCTCGGCAAACTGGGCTTTTAGGTTGGATTTTGGGAAGAGATTCCTCCCTGACAGTGTGGGGAGGCCCTGGCACAGGTGCCCAGAGCAGCTGGGGCTGCCCCTGGATCCCTGGAAGTGTCCCAGGCCAGGTTGGATGGGGCTTGGAGCAGCCTGGGACAGTGGAAGGTGTCCCTGCCATGGCAGGAGCAGCACTGGGTGAGTCTGAGGAGCCCTTCCAACCCAAACCAGTCCATGTACCCCTGATTTCCCTTCCCAGATCACCCTGGGAGGATATTTAGGTGTCCTGGTAGAATTTGAAAGTTCTGCTGGAGGATTCTGGGAGGTCCCAGGTAGGATCTGGGGTCTCCTGGGAAGGTTCCAGTTAGGATTTGGAGATCCAGGGGATGATTTCCAGATCATCAAGAGGATTTTGGGCTCCTGGGAAGCATTTTGGAGGATCTCAGGTAGGATTTGGGGCTCCTATTTTCAATAATTCCAAGCAGAATTTTGGGTATCCTGGAGAGCTTTTAGGATTCCTAGACAGGATTTTAGGGGTCAGGAGGTCTGACAGCTGCACCCAAAGCTCTCTGTCCTGAAGCCATTCCACAATCTCTGACTGCTTCCCCCAGCACCACATCTCCCAGTCTCCTTCCTCCACACCCATCACTGGTGTTCATCTGTTCATCCCCCCCGTGTGCCCTGCATGGGCTGGGGGGGCACCACTGCAGCCCAGTGACCCCAAACCCCCACAGCGCTGCCAGCCCCCTCCCACTCCCATCCCAATTACCCCATCCCAATTACCCCAATTACCCCATCCCAGACCCCATCCCAATTACCCCAATTACCCCATCCCAGACCCCATCCCAATTACCCCCATCCCAACCCCCCGAGCCCTCTCCCACTCCAGCCACCCCCATCTCAGCCCTGTGATCCCCACCCAGGTTAGTCCCAGCTCATCCCAGGTTAGTCCCAGCCCCCATTACCCCCTCCCAAGCCCATCCCAGCCCCCGTCACCCCCATCCCCCCCCCATTCCCCCCATCCCGAGCCCATCCCAGCCCCCTCCACCCCATCCCAGCCCTGTGACCCCCATCCCAGGTTAGTCCCAGCTCATCCCAGCTTAGTCGCAGCCCATCCCAGCTTGGCTGCTCCAAGCCCTGTCCCCCTCCAGCCCCAGTCGCTCCAATCTCACCCCACTAACCCCACGCACCCCCCACGCCGCCATCGAGCCCACGCCGGAAGTCCCGCCCGCCCCCAGCCCCCACAGCCAATCAGAGCTCGCCGTTCGCCAGACGGACAACAGAAATAACCAATCCCTGCACAGGACTGGAAAGAGGGACGTGCGGCCAAGCCAGTGGGAGCCGGCCGTACTCCCCCTTCCTCCCCCGGGGCTTCCCCCACCTGTTTCTCCTGCCCGGTCTCCTCTGTGAAGGCGCCGGTACCGAGCGGGGCTGCCATGGCGGAGAGGGGGCGGCCCCGCGCTCCCTCCGCTGTGTCCGGCCCCGCGCCCTGCTCCAAAATGGCCGTCACCGCCTCCACCACCCCTGCTGTGTAACGGACAGCAGCTCCACCCAATGAACGCACAGAAGGGACCGCAGTGACATCACACCTGACCAATCAGTGCGTGCGGAAGGCGGGACATAGAGACGAGGTAGTGCAAACACAAGGGCGTGGCACCCGCGACTGACAGGAAAAGTGACCAATGGGAATCGAGATACACCGAGTGGGCGGGGAAAGAGGCGGAGCCTTGGGCGCGCCTGTCCCGCAGCATCGCCGGTTCGAGACCGGGGCCCCGGGGATGCGGGAAGGCCGCGCAGGACCGGGGGATGCGGGGGGATCCCCCACGGCACCGACCACCCCCGGCCTTGTTCCCGCCGTGGAAAACCGCCTGGGGAAAAAGGGACCCACCCCCACCCAGCAGGGAGCGGCAGCTGAGACCACGCGCAGCTCATGACAGCAGTGTCACCAGCCCGGGGACACCGCGCCCCTCCCGAGCACTGCCAGTGCCCCTTGAAATGCCAATTCCTGGCAGCTGCACCCACTGAAACACAGACAGACCCTGCGGCTGCAGAGAAATACGTTTAAGTGAACTACAGAAGAATAAAGTGGGGGAGGAAGGAAAGGGGTTGTGAACAAAAATAATCACAGTTTAACTTTTTTCCTCACTAGAAAGAGCAGCTGAGCCATGGGGGCACAGCCTGGGGGTCTTTGCAGAGCTGCTCCTCCATGGAGACACGCGGGGCAGGTTTGGGTGCCCCGTGCCAGCCAGGGACAGGGGTGATCCCGACTGCCCAACACCCCCAAACCCTTCCCAGGAGGGTTGTGAGTTCCTCAGGGGAACCCACACAGCTCACAGGCAGGCCCTGGCTGGGGTAGAGGCACCCAGGAGTGTGTCCCAGCCCTGTCTGTGCCGGGGTTTGACCTCTTGGAGCAGCTCCCGGGCCGAGGCTCTGCCCCCCCAGCTCTGCACTGGCCTCAGAAGGAAATCCCCAAGGGTTAAGGAGTGAAGAGCTTCTGCCACCTCTCGCTGGAGGCACGGGGCTGTGGTGGTGGGGGCTCTCACCTCCCACCCCTGCCTGGGGAGAGGAAAGCAAAATCCCCTGGTCCCTCCCCAGGCTGAGCCCACCCACTGCCCCAGGAACTCCAGGTCCCTCTGGGGAGACCCCTGGCTCGCATCAAGGGTCTCCCCTACACCTTGTGAGGTGGCTTTTAGGACTTATTGAAGGCTGCCAGGACGGCCCAGATCATCTCGGTGCCCCTGGCTTTGGCAGCTTCCACCTCAGGGTCCATATCCAGCAGGTCCTTGCTCCTGTTCATGGCCACGTCGTACTTGTCGTCAGCCAGGCTGGCGAAAACGTTCTCCAGCACGTCTGAGGCGTGGGCCAGCACCAGCAGAGCCAGAGTCCTGCGCTCCATGCGCTGGGGATCGTTGACCCAGCGCTCCAGGACGCTCTCCTGGAGCTTCTTCACCAGGCGCTGCTTCTCGGAGGTGTTGCTGACGGGGTGCGTGGTCATGTCGAAGAGCAGGAAGTTCTGCTTCTCCGTGGTCAGGATGCCTTTCTCCACCAGCGCCTTGGCCAGGCGCTCCCGCACGTTGCGCAGCTGGTACTGCAGCTTGAAGGGGTTCCAGGTCTCTCCTGAGGGGTGGGAGATTCTGTCAAGCTTTGCTTCCCAATCCCAGTGTCCTTCCAGGCTGTCCCTCTGTCCTGCACGGACACCGGGCTCTGCCACCCTGATCCCTTGGCCTGACTCAGAGCCTCCTCTCCCACCTGGCAGAGCTCCCAGGGGCCACAGGCAGCAGATCCCAGGCTTGGATCCCTGCAGATCCAAAGCTTCTTCCACCTGTGGGTTACCCCAGCCTTGGTAAGGCCAGCAGGAACTAACAGGGAGCAAGGCCCAAGATTTCCACCGAGCTCCCAACAAAAAAACACCCAGAAAATCCTTCTCTGCCCCCACATTCAGCCTTCCCCTGAATCTCCCCGTCTCCAGGAATGGCCCAGGGATCCAGGGCCAGGCCAGGGAGAGGGGTTTTGGAGGGATTTGAGGGTCCAGGGTGGTTTTGGGGCTCTGTCACCACCAGATTCTGGAGCTCTGGATGCAGAGGGTGATGCTGGACCTGGGACTCCGGATGGGTTTTGGTGTGTTTGGTGGGCTCTGGGAGATCTTTGGACAGGGGACAATGGAATTTCCACCTGGCCCTACCAGTGAGCAGCTCAATCCAGGTCTGAACTGTCTCTGCTGACTCCGTGGCCTTGATGTGCCGGAGGGTCTCATCCAGCAGCACATCCCCGGTCGGAGCATCCGACTTGAGCATCACCTGAAGGAGCAGCAGGAACACGGGGTCGGGCTGGGGGCAGAGCCAGAGCAGATCCCGCTGCCAGGATGGGGTGGGCAGAACCCCAGATCCTGGCAGGGTTCCTGCAGGAGCCTCACCTTCCTCTCCAGCAGCCTCTTCTTGCGCAGGGACAGCGGCTCCAGGCGGATGCGGCCGCGCAGAGCCAGCTCGATGAGGATCCCGCCCCGCAGCCCCGAGGAGATGCAGTCGTTCCAGAAGGAGGTATAGCCCTGGGGGAGAAGATGGGAAGGAATTCTTCCTCTGTTCAGCCTCCTGTCCCTCCTGGCCTGCTTGGACCCTGTCCAGGAGTTTTCCCTGCTCCTGTCTTTCCAAAGCTTCCCAGATTCCCAGAGGGATGGATTTTCCTCACCAGGTGAGAAGCTCCAATTATCCCCCCCCTCCTGTCCAAAAGCTCCTGCAAACCCTGAGCGGTCCAGGCCGTGCCCTCCTTGCTGCACCCACAACCACGGGCTCCAGCCAGCCCCAGGGCACAAAACATCCAAGGAAAAGTGAGAAAAATGGGATTATTTCCATGGGCACAGCAGGTCAGTGCTGCTGCTGAGGGGCTGCACCCACCCAGGAGCTCTGCCAGGCTCTGTCCCAGTGCTGGCTGTGGATGTGCCTGGTGGCAGGGGAGCTGCAATCTGCTCTTCTCCTTGAGGAAATTCCCCAACCCCAGCCCCATTGAGAGCCCCTAGATGTTCCCAAGAATCAACATCAGGCCTGGGAGGAGCTTCCCCACAACCCATGGGGCTCCAGCAAGACCCAGTTCCCACAGGAGCTTCACAGAGCCATGGAATGGCTTGGATTGGATGTTAAAAATCATCCAGTTCTACCCCCAACCATGGCAGGGACACCTCCCACTGTCCCAGGCTGCTCCAAGCCCTGTCCAACCTGGCCTTGGGCATTGACAGGGATCCAGGAGCAGCCACAGCTGCTCTGGGCAACTGTGCCAGCCCTCCCAACCCTGACAGGGAGGAATTTCTTCCCAAAATCCCATCTAAACCTCCTCTTTGTCGATTTGAAGCCATCCCTCCTTGTCCTGGCATTCCAGGCTGTTGCTGTGGCCTCATCCTGAGAGCTGCAAGCTCCAAAGGCAAAGAATTTGGGAAGGAAGAAGGTGCAAAGGTTTGGGAAATACAACCCACAGAGAACCAGGAATTGAAAAAGGAATTTGACCCAGGAAAAAGAGGACAGAGGGAGAAGAAGATAAGGGAGATCAGACACATAAAAGGGAGCAGCAAACAGGAGAACTGTGCACAGGACAGTCCTGGCCTGGAACTGCAGCCAGGGAGATCGGAGCTGGGAGAAAAATCCCCCTGGACAAGGAAGCCCAGGGAAGGGCAGGGAGGGAACTTCCTGTTCCCTGAGGTTCAACAACACTCAGCTGATGCTTTCCAAGAGAGCTGGCTCTGGTTTGGAGCAGTGGGGCAGCCCAGGTGACCTTTCCCTTCCCTTCTTCCACTCCTCTTTCATTCCCTGATGAGAACAAAGCCCAATTGTTTCCTGCTGTTCCAGTGAGGGCCAACACGGAGCAGCGTTCCTTGGATTTCAGGGCAAGCCAGGAGCAGCCAGGGCTCAGGGAGAGGCTCAGGGGGCTGGGCTGGCATCTGAGGGGTGCCCAAGGGAAGGGTGATCCTAGTGGGATCGAAGCCACGACCTGCTGGTTTGAAGGGAGACCCCAACGCTCCTGGAATGGGTTCCTGGTAGGAAAATCCCTTTCTGCTGCTCTTTCTCTGGATGGGAAACAGGGAGGGAAGGACAGGTCTAAAATCTACCAGGAGACTGGTGAAAAGTGACCCAGTGAGCCCCTTCCCAAGGAAAACAGGCTGGGAGCCCTCAGCCCTCCCCCAGGGAAGGTTTTCCAGCCCCATGGGTGAATTCCTGTCCCCAGCTCTGTTTGAGCAGGACATGTGGACACTGGGCTTGCCCAGCACAGAGAACCATAAAAAAAACGAAAATCTTTATTTGCTTTCTTCATTTCCTTGTGAGGGAAGACAAAGCAACCTTTCATTCCTGCCCTCCTGGTTTCCGCTCCTGGGTTTTGCTCATGGCTTTACAAACAAGTTTTCCAGGAAAGGGTGTGAAGACGAGCAAAGGTTTCGATTTCCTGGCCTCAAGGGCATGTTACCCCTAGGAAATTTTAAATTCCAAACCAGTTGAAAACTCCTGGGTTATTTCCAGCTTCTGGAATCAGACTGGTTACAAAAGCCAGGCTGGTTTGCAGCCAGGTCCTCCTACATGGACAGACTGGTACTTTAAATAATGAAATTACACCGTGAGCTCATAGAATTTGGCCAAAATTGTCTTGTTTTTCCCCAGTCATCAAACCATGAGTGAACACTCGGGCTGTGAAAACAGAGCTCAGTTCAGGGCCAGGCTGCTGCTGCCTCTGGTCATGTGGGACAGGAATGTGGAAGGACAGGATGGAAAAAAAAGAAAAGTTTGACAAGGTTTTTCCCGCCCCCATATCTGTTGTGCTCTCCCAGGTTCCTGGTGGCTGAAGGGCCATTCCCAGGATACATTAACCAAGCCAAGAACACCAAACACAGCCCAGGAAAAAAAGCAGCCCACAGCACCCCACTCCCAGGCTGCTCTCAAATATTTGCTCCAGGATTATTTGCATTGTGTTCCCTTTACAGCCTCAAGCTCCTGCCACTTCCTACTTGGCTCCTAGATGTTATCTGGGGTTCTCAAACAGGACAGCCCCAGCTCCTGCCACTGTCACATCCCGCAGCTCCCCCGGGCTGGATCCGGGCTGGATCCGTGTGACAGCACAGAACCAGCTGGGAGCAATCCAGAACTGCAGAGCCCTAAGGAAAAACAAGGTTCAGGCACCTCACAGGGGTTTAATCCCACCCCTGAGGAATGAATCCACCACAGCTCCGCAGGGTGGGAGACAGGCTCACACAGGAATCATGGAATCATTACAGCTGGAAAAGATCTCCAGGATCACTGAATTCCATCTTGACCAAAGCGGGTTCCTGGAGCTGGAAAGCCTCTGTAGAAGCTTCTGCTCTGCCACTGTCACCCCAAGAAGCACATGGGGCACCTGGCTGGCTTTCCCTGGTCTACAATTCCCTATTTACATGTCAGGAGCAGCAGATTTTGGAATCGTGGAATGGTTTGGGTTGGAAGGGACCTTAAAAATCAACCAATCCCATTCCCTGTCATGGCAGGGACACCTTCCACCAAACCAGGTTGTTCCATCCCGCCTGGCCTTGGACACTTCCAGGGATGGGGCAGCCATGGAATAACCTGTGCCAGGCCCTCACCACCCTCACAGCTGAAGATTCCTCAAGCTGATCCAGAAGATGGATGCAGGGGTGAAGACCAGGCCCAGGGACAGCACAGGCAGGGCCAGGCAGCTCAGAGAACTCGACAGGAGGCATCTTCCCCTTGCCCACAGCTCCTTCCAGGCAGAGCTGATAAAAGAATTCCTGGCAGCTGATAAGCACCAATCAATTCTGTTTGATCAGGATCCCCTTCCTACAGGGAACAGCCCTCTGGGAATACCCAGCTCTGCAGTCCCCCCACTGCTGCCAAGGAAAGCCAGTGGCAGGCACACAGGAGGAGCTCCCAGTGCTGACATTCCCACCCAGCCCCATCCCCACTCCTGCCTGGCCCAGGAAGCCACCAGAGGTGCAGCTTCTGTTCCCTCTCCATTGTGGGTCCAGACTCAGCCCGTGCCTGCTCCCAGCCCAGCTGACTCTGCTGCCCTCTGCCTCTTCCCTCAAGAGCTACCTCTGCTCTTTTCCACATGAATTTTTCAAGAGCAGAGCAGTGCTCACAGTGTCCCTGTGGGACAGGAGGGTGCATCGAGGCTGGAGAGGAGGATGTTCACCCTTTGATAAACCAGGTGAGGCTCTTTCTATGCATGGTTTCAGCCCTGGAAGGAACAACCCCACCACTGCTGTGCACAGGGCAGTGAAACAACACCCCCAGGGCACCTCTCGCCTCCTGCCACTGTCCCCAAGGCAGAGCTGGTGGGACAGCAGTTATCAGCCATATCCACAGCTCAGGGTGCCCAGAGCAGCTGTGGCTGCCCCTGGATCCCTGGAAGTGTCCAAGGCCAGGCTGGATGAGGCTTCGAGCAGCCTGGGATAGCAGAAGGCATCCCTGCCTATGGCGAGGGTTTGGAACTGGATGAGCTTTACAGTTCCTTCCAACCCAAACCATTCCATGATTCTGTGATTCTAAGCAGGTTCTAAGGGTCTAAGGGAGAGCATTGAGAAGAATCCATCCAATCTCTTCTGCTGCTCCCCGAGAGCCTCAAGTCCAGGTTGACCAAGTGTTGCCACACCACTGCCCACGTGCCACCAGACACCTGCCTCACCTCCTTGTCTTTCAGCCCCAGGAGCAGCACCTCCTCCATGAGCGTGAGCCGGATGTCTTTGGAGTCATCGGGATCATCCTCGTTCAGCTCCCTGTCCGCAGCCGCATCCTCCTCGCTGTCCGGCTTCTTGTCCGAGCTCCTGCCCTCCACCCGCCGGCCCCGGTGCGTGAGCGTCGTCATCTCCCGCTGCAGCTGGGCACGGGAGAGCCCAGGTTTGCTAAACACGACGGGCAGTGCCGGTGCTGAGCCCCCAAACCCACTCCCCAAGACCACGGGACCCCTTCTACCCCGGGATTTCCAGCTTCCCCTTCCCAGGACGGTGTCGCAGGCGGTGACAGGGAGGGGAGTGACCCCTGGGGGTGCTGGGAGGGTGGGAGCCGCAGGTTCTGGCGGGAGCCCTGAGGCGCAGAGGAGCCCCCGAGGCCTCACGGGCGGGTCCCGCACCCTGAGGGGACGCGGGGCGCCGGCAGCGTCCCGGGACGGCCCCATCCCCCCGCCCGCGGCCCCCGCTGCGTCCCAGCCGCCTCCCAACCATGGCCCGGCTCTGCCTCACCCCCCGGGCTCTGTGCCACCCCTCCCGGCCCCGGCCCGGCTCTATCCCGCTCCTCCGGCCCGCTCCGTCTCGCCCCGCCGGACCAGCCCCGCTGCATCCCGCCCGCCGCCTCAGCGCCCCACGGGTGAAGATTCACCCCCCCACACGAGGGCTGGGGAGCTGCCAACGCCCCCCGCCCGCTGCCCGGCCTCACCGCGGCCCGGCGGGTCCGCCCGGCCCGCTCCGCTCCGGGGCCGCGGGCAGGAAAAGCCTCCCCGGGGCCGCCGCCGCTTCCTGGGCTCCGCTGGCCCCGCCCGCACCGCGGCTCCAACCAATGGGAACCCGCGCGGGCCGGAGCAGCCAATGAGCGAGGCCGGGATGGGCAGACGGGCGGGACTTCCCCTTGTCTGTCAGGGGTGGCTCCGCCCCCGCCCGCGTGTCCTGCCCCGCTCCCGTTCCTGTCCCGTTCCGCTCCCGTTCCTGCCCCGCTCCCGTTCCTGCTCCCGTTCCTGTCCCGTTCCCATCCCCGCTCCCGTTCCTGTCCCGTTCCCGTCCCCGCTCCCGTTCCTGTCCCGTTCCCATCCCCGCTCCCGTTCCTGTCCCGGTCCCATCCCCGCTCCCGTTCCCGTTCCCGTCCCGTTCCCGTTCCTGTCCCGTTCCCATCCCCGTTCCCGTTCCTGTCCCGGTCCCATCCCCGCTCCCCTTCCTGTTCTTGTCCCGTCCCATGTCCTATTCCGTGTCCAATCCCGTTCCTGTTCTTGTCCCGTCTCCCCATCCCGTTCCTGTCCTCTCCCTGCTCCCGGCCCATCCCTCCGGTAACGGAGCTCGCTGCTGCCGAAGGCGAACGCCGTTTAATAGAGGACTGATGATGAACATTCTTAATTGCAAAGCCAAAACCGTCAAGAATCGTTCAGCTGTCCCCGCCCGTGCCTCCATTCCCTGACGGCAGCCGGAGAAGGGTTCGGTGTTGGAGGAGAAACCTGTGCCAGAAATCGTTCCAAGGACACGCAGGTTCTCCCCGTGCTCTGACACCTTGGAACAGACGCTACCACGGCTCTTCCTGGCCTGGAGACCTGGCATGAGAGATTCCTGCCTTCTCTGGCAGGGAGGCTGGAATTTAAGGCATGAAGAGGGCTGGATTTTCACCTGAGTATGGTGCTTCTGGTCTGGCAGAAATGCAAAGCATCCAACTCCTCCAACTGTCCCGGTAGGAAAAGCAAACACTGTAACCCCAAAACTCTTAACAACCTGTAACTGACAGCCCAGCCCTTTGGAAAGCTCTGGAAATGACCCCAAAACTGGAGAGGTTTTGGGGCAAGGCAGGTTCTGAGCTCGGAACCACAGCCCAAAGGCACTGGTGAAACCGATGAATTTCCTCCATCACCATCAGGACCTGGAGCCAACCCACAAACCCCCAAATCCGAGGATTTCTGACGCTGCCTGATGGTCCTGTACAAAATTAGTTTGAAATTCTTCGGCTGGGCTTCCTGACATTTTCCTTCCTTAAAACACACTCCTGGGGGTCTGCTAATGGAGCAGAACAGATCCTTAAAACCCAACAGCAACGTGGAACAAGAGAATGAGAGCAGAGAACTCGGGCCAGCGGGAGGTGGGCGGCTAAAACTGCTCCTTGGGCTCGCTGAGCTTCCTCCTTTTGGGCAGCACGTCCTGGCTGGAGGAGAGCTCAGCCTGCTGCACCTGCAAGGGAAAAGCAAGGAGTTACAGGAGCTCCGTGGTGTCAGAACAGGGCACAGCCCACCCTCAGCAGGACAGAGGTGTGGCACATCCACAGCCTCCAGTCCCTGGCCAGATGTGCTGGGCCTGCGGGAACATCTGGATGGTAGTTCCTGGCTGAAGGGACCAACTGCAGGAAGGGTGGGATGAATTCCTGCTGGGATGTGTTCCTGCTGCCACAGCTGCAGTAAGGAGCTGTGTCCATCAGGACCTGCAGCACGGGACAGAGTCATGGTTCAGACTGAAAAAGGGGAAATTGAGGTTGGAGATATGGGAGAAATTGTTCCCTGTGAGGGTGGGGAGGCCCTGGCACAGATTATTCCATGGATGCCCCATCCCTGGAAGTGTCCCAGGCCAGGCTGGACAGGGCTTGGAGCAGCCTGGGGTAGTGGAAGGTGTCCCTGCTCATGGCAGGGGTGCACTAAGTGGGCTTTAAGGTCCCTGCATCCAGACCATTCCATGATTCCTGTGATTCCAAGGCAATGCTGCCCACTCTCCTGCACAGCCCCATTCCAGGAGCAGCACCAGGAGGGCTCTGCACCCTGCAGAGGCTGCTCAGCACCCAACAACCTCCTGAGAGCTGTCCTGCTGCTTCTGGCTCTCCCAGGAAAAGATGACAATGAACCTTTAGTTCCACTGCCCTTTTGGTTATTTAAAGCAATCGTGTTTTGTTTAATAAATTTATTATTAAGTTCAGCAAAACCTCTTTGAAAAATACTCAGGGATAGCGAGCAAATGGAACAACCTTCTCTTGTTTTTGGTCACATCACTGAGTATGACTGGTTAAAAACAGGGAGGGACCTTAGAGCTCATCCAGTGCCACTCTTGCCACTTTTCACTGTCCCAGGCTGCTCCAAGCCCTGTCCAAGCTGGCCTGGGACATTTCCAGCCCCAGCTGCTCTGGGAATTCCATCCCAGCCTCTCCCCACCTCACGGGGAACAATTTATTGCGTAAAAGAAGAGATAAAAATTCACCCCACCGGTTTTGGAGAAGGATCTGCTCCTCACTCAGCATTCCCAGTATTCCAAATACCTGGTGAAGGCCCCCAAAGCCTCCCAGAGCTGCCAAACTCACTCAGTGAAGGAGCAGCACAGACATAGGGCATTTTGGGTCAAATTCCAGCCTGGACACAACAACCTCTGCTCCAGCTGTGCCAGGTGGGAAGGATTTGGGTCCCCACAAGCAGCCAGACTGACCTGATGAAGCAAATAAAAAGGATTTTTCTTGGAATGAAGGTTATCTTTTTAGCCCAGTGTTTCCCAAAGAAACACTCAGTGAACTGTGCTGGGGATCTCTGCTGGCACGAACTCCCCCAGCTGATGGATCAAACCAGCAGGAAATTTGGCTAAATGCATTCCCTGCAGGGTATCAGCTAAAACAAAGGAATCTTTCTCAACCTGTGTTACCTGCACCAAATCAGCTTCTACCTCTTTGGACAGAATTCTTTTGGACAGTGTTGAATTGAATGGGAATTTTGGAAGCAATGAGAATTTCATTCTGTCAATAGCAAATGCATTCAAGCTCCAAGTTTAATTCACTGTTTGAAACATAAATGATGAAAACTAAATTAAAACTGATACTAACAATGCAGCTTTGGAATATCTTTCCACTTCTTGTCCTGCTCTCTGACACAATCAGCTCAGACGTTTTATGGGTCAAATGATCAACCTGAAATCAGAAAATAGATTTTGCCTTGTGATTGCAGCAAAAAATACACACTGAAGACCACAGCAGGGCTCAGTGCTGGGGCATTCACTGTTCTGTGCAGTGCCTGAGCCAAAATTGAAATATGGGAGTATTTAAACAGTGATTACCCATGGAAATCACAGCTTTTACAGCTGGGTGTGCTGGAGGGCCCTGGCAGAGAGAAGCATGTGATGGTTTTATACAGTAAATCACTCACACTTACCTACAGTTATCTGTTTTAAGAAATCCTAAGGACCTGTGTGAAGAAGTCCTCCATGTATAAATGCCACCAATTTCTACATGCAGGGAATATAACCTGAGTTATAAACCTGAATTTTTAAGTTTTAATCAACTTATAAACAAGCTTTGGTTTGTCAGAATTAGCAGTGGAATTCCTTTTAGGCAGTTTATTAACATGGAAATTACATTTCCCTTTTCACTCAGTAACAGTCACAGCATCTGTTTGTTTTGAGAGCTGTACTAGAGAGGAACAGCCTTTTGTCAATGCTTTAGAATAGTTCTGGAAAACCCCAGGAAGGAAAATGTGAAGGCATTTTGTTGCTGGAAATAGTGACTGTGGGAAATAAGGCTTCAGTAGATTACCCATGAATCGTTCAAAGGAGGGAAGGAGCTTCACAGAAGCTCCAGTAAAAGCTGAAGATGACAGAGTTTTCATACCTGAGAATTAGAAACACGGGGGGGAGTCTGGATCCCTCCAGCTTCCTCTTCATGAGTTGAATTCTTTTCTGAAAGAAGGATAGAGTTGGAGAGTTAAATGAAGCTGTTAACAGCACACCAACAACCTAGAGCAAACAGCAACTGTGCCCCAGGGAACACTTTGTAACTGCTGGGAACAGCTGCTTCCAGAGGGCTCCAATTCTCTGTGTCCAGCACATCCTTTACTCCAAGCTTTGAACTTACTCTTCAACTCAGTCACTTCCTCTCCCAAACTCCAGCTCACTGCAGTAGCCCAGGGTTTACACACAGAATCTCTGGAAAGGTGGGTTTGATCCCCAGCTCCTTCACACACTGCCCTGCTGAAGGGATTTGATTCAAGCCTCAGGAGCCTGTTTGGTGCTGCAGGACAGGGAAAAGGCTGCTCTGGTCCAGCCCCAGCCACACCCAACCAGCAATCCCAGCTGCAGAGTCCCATCACTGCCTGCAGCTGCAGGAGCAGGCCCCAGGGGGGAACAGGCAGTTCCAGGCAGCTTAGCTGCTGTTCCTAATTCATGCTGTTTTTCTAGGATACAGATAAAAACATGGAATGGTGAATGGGTGACCATGCATCAGCTGTGGAAACAACAGAAGAATTTCAGGGTGACAAATGTGTTTCCCTGTGTCTCATGGTTCCTGCATATAAAACATTTGCCAGCTCCCTAGGACAAGAAACTTGCTGGATTTTTGCATGGTCTTGGAACTTTCATGACTTTTTTGAAGAATCAGGCACACCTTCATGTGGTTATTCCAGTTCTGCATCCTACTAGCATTGTCAAAACAAACATTTCTGATCTACATGTGCTGTTTCCAACACATTTCCACCATTATTTTTGAACAGCACGGAAATGGCAGCTGGTTTGGCAAAGCTGCACATGTTACTCCTCAAAAAACCCCAAACCAAACATTTGAAACACTTTCTGTATAGCAAATGGGTTCCAGATTGTCTGGATGCTTCTATACAGCCCCTCCAAGAGGAGCAATCCCTTCTGCAGCTTGTTCGGCAGCAAAGTTCAATCTTCAGGCCCCTGGGCTAAGTTGGGAAATGTGAACACAAACCATCCTCTGCTTTTCCTCCTGGTTTATCTAAAAATCTGAAAAGGAAGCTCCTGAGGTCCCTGAGGACAATTTGGTTTCTCATGTTTTCAGTTGGAGACAGTCTGGGTCCACATCTTGGAGCTCTGATTAAAAGCCAGCAGTGTGGAGCTTCCAGGGCACATTCCAGGGCTGGAGGAGCCAGGACAGTTATTTACTGATGGATTTTATTTACATTGTTAGGAAAAACACTAGAGGAAACTCATTTTTGTGTGATTCATACTAACAAAAATACTTTGCTAGAACTTGTACCTATTAAAGTTCTCCTACAAGGAAAGGCTGAGAGAGTTGGGATTGTTCAGCCTGCAGAAGAGAAGGCTCCAAGGAGACCTCTGAGCCCCTTCCAGTACCTAAAGGGGCTCCAGGAGAGCTGGAGAGGGACTTTGGAGAAGGGCCTGGAGGGACAGGACGGAGGAGGAATGGCTTTACCCTGACAGAGAGCAGGGTTAGATGGGATACTGGGAAGGAATTGCTCACTGGGAAGGTAGGGAGCGCCCAGAGAAGCTGGGGCTGCCCCTGGATCCCTGGCAGTGCCCAAAGCCAGGCTGGAGCAGCCTGGGATAGTGGGAGGTGTCCCTGCCCATGGCAGGGGGTGGCACTGGATGAGCTTTAAGGTGCCTCCCAAGCCAAACCGTTCTGGGATTCCATTCTGTGATGGCAAAAAAAGTTCACTTGCAATTATCAAAGTGCTCCAGTACACAGGGAAAGGGCAGCAGGTGCCCAGAGCACAACCAGCTGGAAAAGGCACTCAAACAGGAAGCAGCATGGACAAACATAAAACAAATTCATAAAACAAAACCCAGTCTGGTGAAGTTACTGCAGCAGGAGCAGCAAACCAGAGCCATGAGCAGCTCCTTTTGGAGGTGTTCCTCAGGGGTTGCCAGAACACAAAAGCCCCTCTACCCCACAAGAGCCCTGAAGCTCTCAACTCCTCCACAGCCCCAGGCTGAAGGTGTGGGGTGCACAGTGGGATTCTGGGCTCCTGCAGGGGAAAAGGTGGCTGAAAGTGGGATTTCTGCTTTCACAGAAAGTTGAAATTAAAAAAAAAACAAAAACAAAAAACAAACAGACCCAGACCACTGGTTTTTGCACTAAGAATTCTGTTTCCCAGGTCTGCAATAATGAACTCAACAGTACAAGACCTCTGCAAGTTTAATGTGCTAAGTATCATCAAAAACGAAATAAATCAGTAATTATTAGTAACAAAAATAGTAGAAAAAGCAAATAAAATTTATTTCTAAATATAAACCCCATTCAATTTAGCTTATCTGATAAAATGGAACAGAAAATCCAAATTTTGAACAGTAAAATGAAAATATGTTAATCATGTTCTAACGTGTTAACATTTGTTAACCAAGTGCTTCACAGAATGAAGCCCTGATAGAAAATAAAGGCACAGTCATATATGTGAAGAATATAATGAAAATTTGAATATAGAAATATATATATATTGATATATATATATTGAGAGTTTTGTTTAAGTAACATCAAGAAAGAGGCACAACTCAGAGACTTAAAAATTTTATAGAAATATTACCTTGAGCTTCTGAAGTATTTACATGATTCTTATCTTCATTATCCAAGACAGGGTTCTCCTAGATTAAGAAACAGGTCTGTCACTTACTGCAGACACACAAGGCAGAAGGTTTCTACTCAGATGATTAAGGACACACTTATTAGATGGATTTGTGGTGGAATAAACTGAAATAAGTGATTGTGACATGGGATGATGAGAGGTTTCATCTGTGCCCTGTGCTGGACACATGGCAGTGTCCTCATGGCACCAGCTGTCCCTCTGCTGCTCACCCTGCTGCTCCTCATGCACAGGCACTGCTTGAACAGTGACAGGCTGCAAACCAGAGCAGTAAAATTAAGGAAGAAATGGATTGAAGACATATTGTCCTGCTTAACCATGTCTGAAAATAGAGGGGGTTATGGCTTACACACAGTGAAACAGTAATGGCCTTTTTCCAGATGATGTAACACAAAAAAAAATTCATAAAGCTACACAAAACAAAGTCTTTGCTCTTACTTTCATGTCCTGGCTCTCTTCTTCTGGATCATCTCTGCTCACTCCACACACCTGGAGAAGCTCAGCAGTCTCTCCCTGCTTTAGGGTGTTCTTATCAACATTCTCCATGCGCTGTTTCTCAGTTGTAATTTTCAACTTCAGCATATGAAAAGGCGTTGGCACTTCCCCCACATTCAGGTAAATGGGCTCCATATTAAACATCAGCCCCTCATCCCTGGCCTCCTTGAACCCTGGAGGTTGGTAATCAGGGGGTGTAACTGCAGAGAAAATTCATTAAACATCTTAGAATGAAACTGGCTCTTGCAAAACTAATTTTAACTCTTTTCCCCTTTAAATACAGAGAGTTACTGCAAAAAACCTGTGTGGGGAGGGGAGTAATCAATATTCAATTTGGAGTAAATGAAGTTCTTTTCTCTTTGTTAAAGCTCTTTGGAAGAGATTATAGATACAGAGAGAGAAAACAGAAGCTCCCATTTGTCATTGTAAGGCAGTAACATACTCCAAAAGCAGAGCCAGGCATTTGGACAGACACCAAACTAGAACCAGGCTGACAAACTATGCTATAGCCTAACATACTCTGGGAAACTCCAAGTGTTTTAAAACACAGCCAAATCCAATGAAGTCAGTGCCAGGATTGTGTTCCTGCAGTGAGATCACATCACTTCCCCTTGGGATTCAAAACTTGTGAGAAACAGCCACATGTGCAACAACCTCATTTAACAAGTCCCAGCAGCCACAAAGATTATACACTGAAATCTTCCTCTGGATTGCTTTCCAGAGTCTGAACACAGATGATAAAGCAGGGTGACATGTACCCTCATCATAGTACAGGAGTTTCATGGTGAGGCAGACATCATTGGGCAGAGGGCTCAGGTTCTGCATCAGGATGTAGATCTTGCGGAGGAGGAGGATGCTGGCCTTCTTGGTGTCTGCACAGGTGATGGTGGAGTCTGACTTCTTGTCCTTGCTAAAAACAGATTATTTCTGATACAGAGTAAGCAGTTTCTAGCATTGAGAGATGACTGTTTAACAGACTATGGAAATGAGCAACATCCTGTTATTGTCCAAGGTCTGAGACCACACACATTGCAATTCCTAACCCTGCCTGAGTCCTGCATGTTCTCCACCCCTTGGGAGATCAAACCCTAAGCCACAGACATCAGGAGAGTTTAGGGATCAGCACCTGGCACCAACTGCTCTATCCTACATCACACAGTGCTTGAATACCCAACCTGAAAGACAGAGGTACTCGTGAAAGCCCCAGTTCCATCAAGTCCTACCTACTTCCCTCAGTTAAAGTCACTCTGTTCACCTGGACACGAGGTAACAATAATAAACTCGGTGCCCAAGGGACTCTTGACACCCAGCTCCAACATTTCCATGCTCCCATTGCACCAGAAGCTGACCCAAATCCCACCTTGATGCTATAACCTCTCCCTCTGTTCCCCAGCTCCTCACAGCTCCCAGCTGAGGCACCTGAGCACCTGCACAGCAGGGCAGGTACCAGGAGTTGTTTCCTTGTGTGTCCCTGTCTTCTGGAAGCATTCCCTGAACTGTGATGGGTTCAAACCCCTCACCCCTCTCCAGCTGGTTATTTCCTGCTGTGCTGAGGCCAGAGAAGCAGCTTCACACCTATTTTCAAATTAATCTTTACATGAATTTTTGCTGTTCCACTAAGGCAACCTGGTGTGGCCAAGAGTTCACATCCCAGTGCTTGTTACAGCCCCTTTAACAGGTAAGGAACTAAACCCAGCCTAAGAGCCTTCAGCACTGCAATCTTTCCTCGTTTAATTTAAGGAGCATTTTATGCAGGAGGGAAGCTGGGAGGAGTTTGTCAGGTATCAATTAACTGTATTTCAATTAATTGCCTTAAAATAAGCCATTTCCCTGTAGCTGTGACTGAGCAGTAAATCCCTGTGGTGGAAGAGGGTATGGAGGAGATGTGGGACAGTGCTGTGTCCCCAAAGCTCCAGCAGGAGCACGGGGTGCCACTGCCCACAGCTGCTGCCAGAGGTGACCTGATCTCAGCACATGGAGAGGTGAGCAGGGCCCTCATTTTAGACAAAGTTACAGGGGTTGAGTGGGTGTGAACTGATGGGGTCCCCCTCAGCTGCTTCTCCCCGAGTTCATCAAAAGGACCCGAACGTCTCCTTGACTTTGCCAGACTTATACAGGGGAAGTGAAGCTATGGTTTGGCCCAAAAGATGTAAAAACTGAACAACAAATTCAATTGTTTGGGTGGGAAGGGACCTTAAAGCTCATCCAGCCCCACCCCTGCCATGGCAGGGACACCTCCCACTGTCCCAGGCTGCTCCAAGCCCCGTCCAACCTGGCCTTGGGCACTGCCAGGGATCCAGAGCTGCTCTGGGCAGCTGTGCCAGCCCTCCCCAGGCACACAGGGAGGAATTTCCTCTGTACATCCAGTCCAAACCTGTGCCCTGCCAGTTTCAACCCAGGGATCCCCTCCCCATGGCTGGGGATGCCCAGTGTACTCACAGTGGGCTTATCTCAGCAATGGGAATTCCAGGATCACTGAGCTATGTATCAAAATGTAGCTTTGCTAAGTGCAGCTTACATTTATATTGTGATTGTTGTGTATTTTCTATCATTTCTGCTAAATGAGGAATTCCATGTAACATTCAGTATCTTCAGGTAAGTAAATCTGGTATGAAGCTTCACCCCCCCACACATGGAGTATCTCAAAGATCCTGGTCACAGAGCATCAGACTGATATTGAGCATCATCTTCTGACTGGATATTAAAATTATGAACATAATCAGACAAAATTATTAACTGTATTTTAGCAAGTCTAAGCTAGTAGTGTATGTTGATAAAATTACTCTCAAGATGCAGAACTTAAAAAGCAAACCCCAAACAGATCAAATGCAGAGTTCTGACATTCAGGTGTGCCCAAGGGACAGTCCCAGGGGCCGTACCTGCCAAAATCCAGGAGCGGCCCATTGTGGGTGTATGTGAACTTGAAGTGGTAACACTCTGTGACTGTCTGCAAACAAAGCCAGTAATTATTAAACTAATCTTAAACACTCCTGCTGCAGCTCTCAGTAATCTGTTAACCTTTAAATAAAGTACCTACAGCCCAACTCCCATCCACTTACATGTGCTGAATACAGGTTCCTAATCCTCTAACAATTAACAGTAATAATGCATAAAACTGTCAGCTAATAAAAATGATGATTCTGTTCCAGGAATCACCATGATAAAATATTTTGCAATGCCAGCTGAAGTTTTTAGCACAAGATATTCCAGTTTCAATCACTATGAAAATGTTTCACACAGGGAACAGATGTGGTGACATCCAGTGGGTTTTGTGTTTCCCACAGAAGTCCCATGAAGTTGTTAGGCAGACTTAGGATGAGACTTCACTCTGCAATGACATTTTGGTTTCTTGCACCAGCCTGAGAATAACCTGACACTGGATACTCAAATGCGATTCCACATGTGGCAATTCCCACTGACTCCAGTCATTTTCACACCTGGTATTTCAACATGTCCTCTTTTTATAAATGTGCACATTAAATATTCCTGCTTGTACACACATTTCACTATACCCATACTATCATCAGTCATCCTGTGAGATATTGCAGCAGATTTACCTGAGGATCGTCCAGCTGGGTACAGACCTGTATTTTTAATGAAAAGAGAGGAATCAGAATCAGACCTGCATGTTCCTCAAAGGTCATCCCCTAAAAATGTGTCCCTGCCTTTCAGAGATACTCACTGCTAGGACAATCTGTCTCAGCTGTCAGGAACATAAACAGAGAGAAAAAAAATAACATTAAATATATTCCATTGCCCATTTTTGCTGCCCAAGCTGCTTTGTCTCTCTAACTCTGGAATCCAACACAGGCAGCACAGGCCTGTTGGAAGAAAAGCCTCGTCCTTTTCACTCCTCTTCTGCGGAGGAGAGGACTCAGCTGCAGAAGAAAACACCTACAGATCCCCAGCTTTCTGTGCTGCTGTTTACAAGGATTTTATGCAGAAATGCCTGTGCATCCCACACTGCAGCTGACTGAGCTCAGCTACTCCCTGAGCAGTCCCACAACTACACTGGCAGATAATGGACTTTGAATAAACATTTCAATACAACTGAAATGAGACTGGAAGACTTACATATTTCTTCTGCAAGGCATCATAGCATCCTAGCATCCTGCAAAAACCAAGTAATATTGGCCATCTGCTACTACTTTTCATTTGTTTCTCACTAAATCAAGTAGCACCAAAAAATGAAACTCTTGTGTTTACTCTTTCTGTATTATAGCAATAAATAACACTTATTCCCTCATTGTATCTCCTTACCAATGATACTGCTAATAGCAGTAATGACTTTGTAACACCAAATCACCCCAAGCTCTTGAAAGAATAATTAAAAATATAATCTGTAGGTAAATCAATTAAAAATATAATCTGTAGGTAAATCAATTAAAAACATAATCTGTAGGTAAATCATCTATCAGTAAAAACATATTGCAATACTTCAGGCGTCTTCCAACACAAGCATTCATTAATTAGGGGAGCAACTTGGTATTGTTGCAGGTGTCCCTGTCCATGGCAGAGTTGGACCAAGGTGAGCTTCAAGGTCTCTTCCAACACAAACCATTCCATGATTTCATCATAAATCAGTAATTCAGCTGAACAGCAACACTGCTGAAGCACAAAGGAGTTATTACCTTTATTCAGACATCGACATTTCCTTTTTATGTAACACCCAAACCGCAGCCAAACAGGGAATCGAAACTTTCCCTATTTTTTTTTTTCTGACTTTCCTTTCAATTACAGTCAACAAACAAAAATTGGGTTTGGTATTACAGGAATACATAACTAAGGCCTTAGAGAGGTTTCTAAAAAGCAAGGAGAGCACCCAGAACAGACCTTGCAGTTATTGTGAGCAGAAAGAAAACCAGAATAAGCAGCTCAGCCCCAGGTCACACAGTCACACACAGTCACACCCAGCTGTGGCAGTGCTCAAGCAGGCAGACTGTCACTGGCAGGCACAGCTCTGCTTTTGAGCAAGCCTGACAGTCCCACTCTCTTACAAAATCTGTGAGCAAGACCTTCAAATTTGAGATGCAAAATGGTGACATAGAATCTCCTGATCAACTAGGGAGGAACTACTGGTTACTTTTGCATTTCTGTGCACCCTTGAGTACTCATGAGCATCTAGAGGAATGAAGTTTACAAACACATAGCATTAGATATTTAGCATTTACATAGCAAATATAAAGTACAGTCACCCTGCAAACAGAGATTTGTGCTCTCCTAAGCCCTGAGCTGAAAACCTTTCTGGAAATACGATTGTTACATCCATGACACAAACGTGGGCTGCTTGCTCACAGCAAGAGAACTTTTTGCCTCGTATCTGCAAACAACCAGGAAGGAACCTCTGAGCACTTACATGCTGAGGAAGCGTTACCTGTGTGCTGGAATCAACCTACCATTTCACCAGCTGGGTAGAGCCAGGACAGTTTTTGTCTTCCCGCAGAATTTTGACACAGACATCTCAAAAAAAGCAAAAAACACACTTATATACATTTACCCAGGACAAAGTGCAAGGAAAAGTTTGTTTCCTCAAAGTGCATATCAAGAAGAGACTAAAATTAACATTACTGACAAGCGTGAACATAGTTTCAATGCTGAGTTAGCAGCAGTAATAACAAAATTTAATTAATTCATTAGTGACATTTCCATTAGAGCACTGAAATGGCATCCATTCATTAAAAAGACCAAGTGGCTTTAAAAACAACTCCATGACAACAGCTTTTTGCAATCTATCACAGAAACAGCCTGTTACCATCCATGTATCTGGTTCCATAGGCACTTTCAGGAAAGATTCCCCTCAGGTACGTGATGCAGGACACTGCCACTGCCAGGAGCCTCTTCACCAGCATCAGGGATTGCTGCTCTGTGGCTATTTTCTTAGGAAATACAATTGCACTCTGAAAAATCACAGAAAGAAACCAATTAAACCTACAGCAACAGACCTGTACGGGTGTCATTCCTGTTCAATGTCTTAATTTTAATTTAATTGAAAAGTATGACATTTGTGGTTTATAAAGTTAAACACATTCCTTTCACTTGGTGTTACACTATTTGTAGGACACAGCTGGTTTCTACCAAGCACATGACAACAAAATGCAGATTATTTTTCTTTAAGTTTTTCTATATATTCTTTATCTATAATTAGAAGACTGAATTAGCCTATTTTCATGTGAAGAAATATCACACAGCACCTGGGTGCACTATTCCAGCCAAAACCCCCCATTTTTTCCCATTACTGTGCTGAAATACACAAACAAAACTGTACCACAGAGTTCCTTTGCTTCTGAGCAGTTGCCATTCTGCAGAGACTCCTGTGTGTGCCTGTGAATGAAACACCTGCATTAGCACCTGGATGAGAAGGGCAGCAAGCCCAGCCTGCAGCTCTCCAGCTTCTCCAGGGCATTCCCTGGATTTACAAACACCTCCTGCAAAATTCGCCAGCTCAAACATGTAATTTTCATGAAACACAGCAGGACAGTTCATCATGCCCCGTATCAGATGCTTGATTTTCACAGCAGCACAGGCCTCCCCTGAGGCTACAGGATGCAATAATTAGTATATTTATATCTGTACTTATATGAAATATGAACCTCCAAAAGCAATTCTCTTCAGTGCTAACTGGCACCCAACCTACAGGATTTTCAAAGAACTTTATGAAAAGGCTCCTCACATTTCAAACACCCCCAGACTTGAGTTGTTTCCATCTGTAATTTAAATGAGTATGGGAGAAACAGAACCCTAACCACCATGAGCCTGACTCCACACAAGCCTTCCACCCCAGTTCAGGACTATCAAATGCACCCATGCCCGAGGCCATGGAAAACACCTTTCCCAAGTTAGAAGGGAGCTCTGGATCACGAAGAGCACTGAGCTCCCCTCAGCAATCCTCCATAAACCCTCCCGATCACAGCACGCAGCCAAGTTCGTGCTCCCGCTGTGAGGAAGGAGCCGCTTCCCAGCAGCCTCAGCCCAGAAAACGCCACCTGCTTCCTCGAGGGAAACTGAGGCAGGGGGAAGATGCATGCGCGAAGACAGAACACGGCACAGCAGCGACGGCCAACAAAACCTCGGCTGTGAGGGCGAGGTGAGGTGTGGGGGAGTAGCGAGATAGTTGACGAAAAACTGCAGGACAATGTGAGGCGACAGGTAGATGAAGGAACCGCCAGGCCTCACCCTCACGGCGCCTTTTCCCGCCCTCGCCCTCAGCAGGCTCTGCGGAGGGGCCGTGCGCAAACACAGGGGGCGGGGCCCGTGCTCAGCCGCCGCCGCGCTCTTGGCGCCAAGGTGGCGCGCGAGCCGCGCATGCGCAGCTGCTGCCCCTTCTCTGAGGGGACCGGGAATTGTGGAATATTCTGGGTTGTGAGGGATTCGCAAGGACCATCAATTCCAACCCCTGGCCCTGCGCAGACATCCCAACAGCCCCACCCTGTGCAGCCCTGAGAGTGCTGTCCAAAGGTTCCTGGAGCTCTGGCAGTCTTGGAGCCGTAACCATTCCCCGGGGAGACTGAGCAGTGCCACCACTCTCTAGGGAAAGAACCTTTTCCTGATACCCAACTTAAACCTCCTGATGCAGCTCCAGCCATTCCCTTGGGTGCTGTCCCTGGTTACAGGGAGCTGCCCATCGTGAGGAAGGCACAGATCCCTGAGGTGGCCTCTCAGTCTCCTCCAGCTGGACAGACCAAGTGACCTCAGCCGCTCCTCCTATGGCCCCTCCAGACCCTTCACCATCCTCGTGGCCTCCTTTGGATACTCTCTAATGGCTAAATGTCTTTTGTACATTACCAAAACTGCACACAGGATTCAAGGTGAGCCCACCCCAGCCCAGAGCAGAGCAGAACAAATCCTTCACCCGGCCAGCGATGCAGGGCTTGATGCCCCTCAGGACACAGCTGACACGTGTCCAAAGGTGACACTTTGGGCTGCTAGGACACGCTGTTATCCAACCAGCCACCGACCAGGACCCCCGGATCCTTCCCCAGCCTCTCCTTACATGGTTGCCCTGTCCCAGGTGCAGAATCCAGCACTTGCCCGTGATAAATGTCACACAGTCCCAATGCCTGGTGTCCATTCCAGCCCTCACCGGCACAGGGACAGCACAATTGCATGGCCAATGGATTCAATCTCTTTGTTGGTTGCCTCAGCCAGAGACTTAGTTGCCTTAAGGAATCCGTGGCCAACAAAATCCCATGACTTCCAAGAAAACTTTGTAACTTATTTTGTAGTGTCTGGACAAATTTATGGCCTCTATTCTTTCCAGACCTATTGTCCATTGCCATTTGCCTAAAATAAAGCTTAAACACGTAGCTTTCTTTTGATCCAACTGAATATCCCAGAATGGTTTGGGCTGGAAGGGATCCTAAGGTTCACCCAGCCATGGGCAGGTTTGGGATTTTCTGGAGAAGAAAAGGGTTTGGGATGACCTAATTGTGACCTTCCAGTACCCGAAGGTAACAAAGGGAACTTACATGAAAGATAGGGACAAGGCTATTTGCAAGAGTCACAGGACAAGGGGGAGTGGGTTCAGATTGATAAAGAGTAGGTTTAAATTAGATATTGGGCAGAAATTTCTCCCTGTGAGGGTGGGGAGGCCATGGCACAGAGTGCCCAGGGAAGCTGTGTCTGCTCCTGGATCCCTGGAAGTGTCCAAGACCAGTTTGGACGGGGCTTGGAGCAATCTGGGACAGTGGAAGGTGTCCCTGCCCACGGCTGGGTGAAGTTTAGGATCCCTTCCAACCCAAACCATTCTGGAATTCTGGAATTCTTTCACAGATATTGGGGGTTGATTTAAGGGCTGTGAAATTACCATTTGAATCGGGTTTTGTGCAATGTGTGGATGATTAGTTGTTAACAAGCAGTGATAAGAAAGCCTTTACGTTAGACACTGTAATTTCTACATTGCCCTGGGATAAAATGGCACACGGCGCATTCAGACTGCAGCTGGGCCAAAAGAAAGTCACGTATTTAGGCTTCATTTTGGAAAAATGCCATAACACTTGGGCTAACACACGTGGGAATAATCCAGGGGAGTTGCACCGGGTGATCTTTGGGGTCCTTTCCGCCCCTCATCACTCCGTGACCCCGCGGTGCCACGTCCGTCCCCACAGCAGCGGGCGGAAGCGGCCGCGCCGTTGCCATGGCAGCGGCCGGAAGCGCCGTGGCGCGGCGGGCGCGGGCCCGGAAGTGACGGCCGGGAGCCGTGGCGGCCATGTCGGCGGGCGGCGGAGCGCAGCGGGACGCGGGGGCCGCGGGCGGGTGAGGCGCGGCCGCGGCGGCTCGGGCGGCCCCGGCGCCCAGCGGGGCACTGCCTCACGCTCCCTCTGTCTTTTCCAGGCGTCGCAGCAAATGGGACCAGCCCGGCCCGGCACCAAATTTCCTTCTCCCCGGTACGGCGCCGCTGCCCGGGCGCCCGTTCCCCGGCGGGGGCGGCGATGGCGGCGCTGCCGTGGCCGGGTCCGAGAGCTCCGCGGCGCCCTCGGGAGCGCTGGATGCGGCCGCGGCCGTGGCGGCAAAGATCAACGCGATGCTGATGGCCAAAGGGAAGCTGAAGCCGGCGCCCAGCACGGCGGACAAGGTGGGGGAGCGCGGGAGTGTCACGGCTGGGTTCTGGGGACCTTGATTTGTCACCGAGCCGGGAGGCGATGAAATTGAGTGTAATAAAAGCAGTCGGAAATAATTTTTAAAATATTTTTTTGCATAACAGAAAGCAGCGGATGGCCGTGAGGTCAGTCCGCTCTAAGACTTTACCAAAGCCACCTGTAGGGAGGTGATAAACTTTTTTCTCAGAAGCGTAAAACATTCTGAGTTGTAAGGGAGCCACGGAGATAGAGTCCAGCTCTTAAAGTGTTTTCCCTGAAGTGTTTTCCAATAGCAGAGCTGATGGAAAAATTGCTGTGTAAAACAAATGCTTAAAAATATGGGACCGAATTATTTTAACGCCTAAAGAAGTTACCAATAGGAGCTGTATGTCCAAGTCCTAAACAGCTTGTAGAGGCTTTGCTGAGCCCTGCCCTGAGCCCAGTTGATCCTGATAAGCTCAGGCAGTTGGACTGGGAGGCTGCTGTGTGTTCTTCTTAAATAGTCTCTGAGTTTTCTATTCTGAAGCACGTGTAACTTAAAGCTGCTTTTCCAGTTCCAGTCACAGCCTTGTCTTGCTCTTCTGCATGTCCTTAGCCTGTGCTAGAGCCAAGTTTAGAAACTGTTTCAAGTTTCATGGAGTCACAGGGTGGTTTGGGTTGGAAGGGACCTTAGAGCACATCTTATCCCACTTCTGCCATGGCAGGGACACCTTCCACTGTCCCAGGCTGCTCCAAACCCTGTCCAGCCTGGCCTTGGGCATTGCCAGGGATCCAGGGGCAGCCCCAGTTGCTCTGGGCACCTGTGCCAGGGCCTGCCCACCCTGACATGGAGGAATTCCTTCCCAGTATCCCATCTAATCCTGCCCTCTCTCATTCTAAAACCACTGCCCCATGTTCCATTACTAAATGCCCTGGTAAAAAAATCCTTCCTCCTTTAGGCCCTGGCAGGGGCTCTGTGGTCTC